AGAACTGCTTATCGAAGTTTGCACTGTTGTCAGGCCCTGCCCAGCCCCGGCCCCTGCCCCCCCCATGTTGTCCCGCCTTACCGATGTTAAAATCTGGTCACCCTAGATTTGCCCCAAAGTGTAACAGTGCGTCATCTCCAAATCAAGGATTACTGGTGACTTTTTGCATTTTGTTTTCTGCGTTGCACACATATGGCTTAAGTGCTTTGAAGCACGCTGGTTTACACAGTGTGGGAAATCTCTGGCAGGACAGGCCTGAAGGTAACAGTTAACACCTGTCATTAGAAAAGGAGCCGGCGCCGGTCTGTGAGGCTCAGAGACGGGCAGGCCAGGGAGTGACTGGGCTGCTCTCGGGGTGAAGAAGGTGCAGAGTCTGTCGGGCTGAGTCACAGGCTCCTTCCTGCTTCTTAGACAGAAACTTAAGTTCCTCCGTAAAAAACTGGACCTGGGCTTTCAGTTCTTGTTTGTACAAGAGAACATAAATTGTGTGCACCTCTTGGGGAAAAATGTTGACCTTTGCTTGTAATAACAGAAATGCTGATTAATCCAGTCTTGAGATACCATTTCGTACTTAGTGTTACAAAACCTTTTCACAGTTGTAATAGTTGCTGTGCTAGCAGGAGGGTGGGGAACATGGTCATACGTCACTGCTATTTTCCAAGTCCTTCCTGGAGTCGTCTGGAAGGCAGTTTAAACTCGACAGCATGGAAGGAGGCTTGAAAGTGCTCGGGCCTCTGACCCCGGATGCACCTCCTGGAAAGCTGCCGTCCAACCGCAGTGCTCAACTCTGCGGTGTTTTCTGTGGCTGTGCTTAAGTGCCCGGGTTCCCTTCTGCTGTGCCCACCGGGCTCACCCCCCAGGATAAAGGGCAGAGCAAACGCTTACTGAAAATGTAAAGTGCCGAATACTGTTTATCCAACAGACAGTCCCACGTGTCAGCGCCCCTGTGATGTGAAGCCATCTTGTTTGCAGGATAGGACACGCAGGATCCCTGTCCCCGGGGCGCAGGCCCTGTTCCTTCTACAGAGGTCAGAGAGCATCACAGGCTTCCAGGATGAAGTCAGAGTCTCCTTGACCCCCAGATAGGGTCCCCTAGGCCCATCCCTCATATTTGTAGCCCAGGATAGGATTGCAAATGGCGGCCACATACTGTGTGTCCAGATATGTAGAAGTTACAGACGAAGCCTACAGACTGTTATTAAAATGTGTTCCCTCCTCCCCCCTTGACTTTAACAGTGGTTCTCAACCTTCCTAAAGCCACGGTGTATTTTCATTGTTACAAATGGGATGTGACCCACAGTTTGAGAACCTCTGTTTTATAATGATCTGAAAGCTGGGCCCATGTGTAGAATCCTCAGACCACTCAGAGCTGATGCTGCAGTGTAGGATGTGGGGAGCTGCTCACAGCTCCACCTGTCACCAGGGACCTCTGTGCACACACCCAGTGTGCTCCAGGGCCTGTGTAACCAGGCTCAGGGCGGACACATCCCCGTGGCCATGCAGGCTCCTTGCCCCTGGGAGTGCCCAGTTCGGGGGGGGGTGGTGCTGGCCCCCCTGCCAGCCTCCGCTCTGTCCTGGGACTGGGCCGTGTGCTCCTGCCTCACCCTGCTGGTCTCCTGGGCCTCATGAGAGCCCACCCCTCCCCACCTGTGTTTGGGCAGAGGGAGGCCTCCACTGATTACCTGTAGCTACAAACAACTCCATTTCCCCAAGTTCCATGTCACATCTTCTTTCATTATCTCCACTGACGTCTTACTTGCTAACCCGTCCAGGACTGGTTTTCTGTGAGACTCAGGGCACGCTGTTCAACTCTGTGTGTCTTAGCTTTCCTTTCTAGAAAACCTGTCACCACTGGCCACTTAGAAAGTGCTCTCTTGTACCTTTTTTAAATTTTAGTGTCTGAAATAGTTAATTTATAGCACCTAGTTGATCATTTCCCATCTGGATATTAATCTAAATCGTTCAGTTTCAAATGACCTCCCTGTCATGTTTCATTTAGAGAACAGCATTGTGCATTTCTATTAAGTGATCAGATTAGTCAAGTTACAGATTTGTTTGCGTCTTGGCACTCACTCCTAGGATGTGATTGAAAGAATGATTTCCACTAAAACAGAGATGTGGGCTGGAAGCCGGCAAGGCCCCTAATTGCCCTGGTCTGCAGCTCAGAGAGCTTGTCTTTGTGCACAGCTGACAGCCCCTGTGCTCCCTGCCCCTGCCTGTCTCCCGCTGTCTCCTGAGCTTGGCCCCAGCCCCCACACAGGAAACTGGAGGTGGGAGCAGATGGGGAATGGGGCAGGATAGGTCTCAGAATGCAGATTACTTGTAAGAAGTAATATCTTTGCACAATAATTTATTCCTTGATCCTTTGGCAGGGGTCTTGCTCTGTCTTCCAGGCTGGAGTGGCCAAACTGGCTTCCACCTAGCTGGGGCAGGGAGGGCGTCATAGCTCACTGCAGCTTCAAACTCCTGGGCTTAAGCGCTCAGTCCTCCTGCCTCAGCCTCCCAAGTAACTGGGACTCCAGCCACTATACCCAGCTGATTTAAAAAAAAAAAAAAATTGTAGATAAGTCTTACTATTGGCCAGGCTGGTCTTGAAGTCCTAAGCTCAAGCAATCTTGCCTCATCCTCCCTAAGTGCTGAAAGGCTTATAGGTGTGAGGCATTGCACCTGGTCTATTGCTTGATACTTTATTATATAAAAAAAGACTTTATTATTTTAACTTTTATGTAAAACTGAGAGCCCACTTATTTTTTTTTTCCACCTTTTTCCTTAGGCTAAATGTTTAGAAAGTGAGAAGCATGGAGTTATCAACAAAATCATAAAAGGCAATATTCGCTTGGGGAAGTTAGAGGAAAAAGTCAAGGTAAGTGGTCACTTGGTCTCAGAGATCCCATTTTGAAGGGAGAACAATGGCTTACTGGTATAGATTTTTGTGTTTAAGAAAATGACACATTTCAGCCTCGGTGCCCATAGCACAGTGGTTACGGCACCAGCCACATGCACCAAGGGTGGCAGGTTCAAACCCAGCCTGGGACAGTTAAGCAACAGTGACAACAGCAACAGAAAAATAGCCAGGCATTGAGGCAGGCACCTGCAGTTCCAGCTACTTGGGAGGCTGAGGCAAGAGAATCACTTAAGACCAAAGAGTTTGAGGTTGCTGTGAGCTGTGATACCATGGCACTCTACCCAGGGCAACATAGTAAGATTCTTATCTAAAAATAAATAAATAAATAAATAAATAAGAAAATGGCACATTTTGCCTGTGTAGGTCACTCTGATCCATGGCGTGAAACAGTGTGGGGTTTTGCTGGTGGAAATAGTGCTGCTCGGTGTACTGAATGAGCCTTGGCTCATCTGCTCAGCAGAGTACATGTGGACATCAAGTTTGTGTGCGTTTTGCTGTGTTAAACTATTTTAAAGAACAAACACAAACTTTTCACCCTATAGCTATGCAGTTGTTTAAAAAAAAAAAAAGATATGGGAGAATCTCTAGGTTCTATTGTTAAATTAATGCCCCAGCTCTCTCTTCAAGCCCTGCATTTGTTTGGCTCTGTTAGAGAGCAGCTTTGACTTCTCTTCTCTTGCCTTAATCCTGGTTGCACCTTCCAATTTCTCTGCCCAAAGAAAGCCACTGTCACTGTGCCCCCTCCCCTGCCCTTGACATAGTGAGACTCTGTCTCAAAAAAAAAAGAAAGAAAGAAAGAAAAAAAAAGCTCTGGGAACATTGCTTTCATCAGCCTTTTCTAAGGATCAATCAGTGTGAGTTGTGCCCACCAAGAAATGAACTCATATTGAGCAAAGAATATGTTTAAATGTGAGATGAGACTGAAAAAAAGTGGCTGAGAGAATAGAATGTCAATGTTTTCTGACAATGTGTAATCAAATAATACAATCAAGGAAGACTGATGAGGGGGAGGTAGGGGATAGAGTAAACTTGCTAGTTGCTTCAAATGTAATAACTAAGAGTCAAGGGGTATCGTTTATTTATTTATTTTTGAGACAGAGTCTTATTATCACCCTGGGTAGAGTGCCATAGTGTCACGGCTCACAGCAACCTCAAACTCTTGGATTCAAGCGATTCTCTTGCCTCAGCCTCCTGACTGACTGGGAGCACAGGTGCCCGCCACAACTCCTGGCTATTTTTTTATTGTAGTTGTCATTGTTGTTTAGCTGGCCCAGGCCGGGTTCGAACCCACCAGCTCCAGTGTATGTGGCCGGCACCGTAACCACTGAGCTACAGGCGCCGCCCAAGGGATATCATTCAAAGCTAAAACATCAGATGGAACTTAAGCTTATATAAACAGGTGAACAGAGAGAGGAAACGTGAAAACAAGGTCATGAACTCATGTAGTTGCTTTTCATAGGGATCCTGTGAAAAAGAGAGGAGTAGAAACGTGAGATAAAGCCGTCTGAATAAGGGAGGCTCAAGGGGCTCACTCCTAACACAGCTGTCACAGCAAAGAGAGTGAAGAAAGTCGACTTCATTCCTTAAAATACTTAAAACACGTGGAGATGAAACAATAAAACAAATCTGTCGTAGAAATAAATGTAAGTTCTCTTAATTCACCCACTAGAGAAAACAGTATTTTTTGATTGGTTCGCAAAAGAAAATACTATTCCCCACTGGCTCCAAGACACCATCTGAAACATAGTGTTTCAGAAAGATTTAAAATAAAAGAATGGCCAGGCGTGGTGACTCAGCACTTGGGAAGGCTAAGGCAAGAGGCTCACTTGACCTCAGGAGTTTGAGGCCAGCCTAAGCAACACAGCAAGACCCCATCGCTACAAAAATAATTTTTTTTTTTTTTTTAGAGACAGAGTCTTACTTTGTCACCCTCAGCAGAGTGCTGTGGCACCACACAGCTCACAGCAACCTCCAGCTCTTGGGCTTAGGTGATTCTCTTGCCTCAGCCTCCCGAGTAGCTGGGACTACAGGCACCTGCCACCAAAAAAAATGTTTTTAATTATCCAGGCATGGTAGTGTGGAAACAGAGCAATACCCTGTTTCCAAGAAAATTAATAAATACATTAAAGGATGAGCGAAGATAACCCAGATTTATGCAAACAGAAAGAAAGCAAGATTGAAGTTTTTACATCTGCCAAGATAGAATCAGGCCAAAAGCACTAATTAAGACCAAAAAAACCCAAACAAACTAACTAAAAGGCTGACCTTCGTAATGCTAATGACTGCAGTTAATAACATATAGTAGTTGTGAATATCTATACAGTGAGTAAAATGGCAGATTTACAAGTTGTAAACCTCAGGATACAAAGACAAATGGAAACTTAGTAATCACAGGAGGTTTTTTTTTTTTTAGACAGAGTCTTATTCTGTTACCCTGGGTAGAGTGCTGTGGAATCATCATAGTTCATGGCAACCTCAGTCTCTTGGGCTCAGGCAATCCTCCTGCCTCAGCTTCTGAGTAGCTGGGACTACAAGCACCTACCACTACCCCCAGCTAATTTTTCTATTTTTAGCAGAGACAGGGTCTCGCTCTTGCTCAGGCTGGTCTCCAACTCCTGAGTTCAGGCAATCCACCTGCCTCAGTCTCCCAGAGTGCCAGGATTATAGGCATGAGCCACCACACCTGGCCAATCATAGGAGTTTTAATCCACCCCTTTTGATCCAAGACTGAGCAAGAGGCTAAATAAAAAAAGATATAGGAAGTTTAACAACATAATCAATAGAGTATAATTTATTATATGTAAATAACGGTCACAAAGACTGTTTATAGCTTGATCACAAAGAAAGCCTTAATAAATCCCTAAAGTAGAAATATACCTTTGTTGATCACAAAAATGAAAAACAGAAATTAATAAACAAAGCAAAAAGATTCTTTTGCCTGGAAATGTAAAAATACACTAAACCAATCCTTGTGTCAGAGGGGGATATGTGAGCTGAATGTCAGAATTTCTTTAAAAAATTCTATCTGTGTGAACTATACCTCAGTCTGTATGACCACAATTTTAGAAATTATTAGAGGGTCATTAAAAGCTTAAATACTATACAATAAAATGAAAGGGAAAAAATAAGTGAATTTGACAACAGAGAATGACCTTGTTGGGTTCTCGTGTGAAGCTTTCTTGGGAAGATAGAACAGTGCTGACCAGTGTCAAGGTGAGTTCTTAACTTACTGGTTGGTTAAGGAATAAAAATTGTCCTGAAGAAAAAACTGTAGAAGTAGATTATTTGCAAGATCATCCAGTTCGTTCTGTGGTAGTGATATTTTATGGGGTTTTTTCTCATTTTTTAACTTATTTTTTATTAGATCATAATTGTGTACATTAATTCTATCATAGGATACAGTGTGTTGCTTCCACATACAGTTTGAAAAACTCTCATCCAACTAGTTGACATAGCCATCATGTCTTTCTCATAATTGTTGTGATAAGACATTTATATTCAACCTTTAGACAAATTCACATGTACCCTAATAGGATAAATCATAGGCGTGGTCCCCACAGTATCATTCTCTTCACCCATCTTCCCCCCTCCCCTCCAGCCCCCCTTTCCCCGTAGTCTAGGGCTCCATTCAGATTGTAACTTTCCTAAGATAGCTAACAATTAGTTTCATAATAGTGTTTTACTTTTATTTGTAGCATGTAAAAAATCAACTATAAGTTAGGAATTTGGTTTTATTATACCTGAAATTCCTTTATCACTTTTCATGCCTTTTATGATCAAGACTTGCCCTCCCAGATCAGATGTCCTCCCCGGGCCTTCCCCAGTGGGTTCAGGTGCAAGCGTGGGTGGGGATGCAGTGGCTGGGGGCACTAGCCAGGCAGAGGCCGTCCCCTTGCTCACTGAGGCCTCCTTGGTCCCCAGGGGTATAAGAAGCAGACAGCCCTGAAGCTGGGAGACATCAGCCACCGTCTGACGGAGCAGCAGGAGGACTTCCACGGCAAGACCACACAGTACCTTCAGGAGGTGAGGCGCCTCCAGCAGATGCTGAGGGACAAACAGGATGTCCTGGACGAGGCCCTGCGGCAGAAAAGGTAGGGCCACTGGCCCCGGGCAGCCTGTAGGAAGGGCACTTCTGTGTTAGGAGGACTTGGTGGGGTTTTCTGGGAAAACCCTCTGGGTTTATTTTGTTTATTTGATTGTTTGATTTTGTTTTTACATTTTAGTTTTGTCCTAACCTAATGTTGGTCTTGATTTTATTTGCTCATTTTCTTTATTCTCTCTTTTTTTAAACTTAAGGCTGGGCACATTGGCTCATGCCTGTAATCCTAGCACTTGGGAGGCCATGGTGGGTGGATTGCCTGAGCTCACAGGTTCGAGACCGGCCTGAGCCAGAGCGAGACCTTGTTTCTAAAAATAGTCGGGCGTTGTCAGGAGCAGCTGTTGTCCCAGCTACTTGGGAGGCTGAGGCAGGAGGATCACTTGAACCCAAGAGTCTGAGGTTGCTTTGAGCTACAACGCCACGGCATTCCACTGAGGGTGATAAAATGAGACTCTGTCTCAATAAATAAATAAACAAACTTGTGTTTGAATTGAACTTCTTCAACTGACCTCACTAACTTTCCTGCTTTTCTGCTCTTTTATGTCTCTTTAATGTTTTTGTTTTATTTCATTTTCTTAGAGGTTTTATTAATCTTTGATTGAATGTTTTGTTTCTGAGGATTTTACAATCTCTGCCTGTCCATTCCCTTTTAGCCGCGTGGTAATGACGGGTCTGTGGGTGCAGTGTGTCCCCGTGGGCTGTGCACCTGAGGTCTGATCTCAGTTGCCCTTGCTCCTTCCAACATGGGATAGAGAAGGATTTAAACGCGGGGGAGCATCGTGTGCTCTCTGGACATGAACTAGGGGGTCCCTGCACCTTGCTTTGGTTTCACATTTAGGTCAGCCTGCTCCTGATGGCTGTGTTGTCTTTGACAGACTGGAGTATAAACTGGTGGGTGCAGAATGATACTTCTCTGGAAGAATCCACCATAATTCTTGGATATAATTTTCTTCAAGTTATAGTACAAGTGCATTTGAGGCCCTGCAAAATGCAGGTGTCTGTCTGTGTTTTTCCTTAGCCAGATTCTTGTTTTTTTTTTGAGATAGAGCCTCAAGCTGTCCCCCTGGGTAGAGTGCTGGTGGCATCACAGCTCACAGTAATCTCAAACTCTCCTGGGCTCAAGCGAGTCTCCTGCCTCAGCCTCCCAAGTAGCTGGGACCACAGGCACCTGCCACAACGCCCGGCTATTTTTTTGGTTGCAGTTGTCATTGTTGTTTGGTGGGCCCGGGATGGATTTGAACCCGCCACCTTAGGTGTATGTGGCTGGCGTCTTAGCCACTTGAGCCACAGGCGCTGGGCCACCAGATTCTTCTTAATGCCAGGCAAAATGGATTCTTACCTAACATGGGTTTTATAGTCACAGAAGTTCTTACTGCCATAAAGAATGCCTTCTTAAAAAGTTGAGCCAGTACCAAGTTTCTTGCCAGTTTAGGATTTCATAAATAGGGCGACACCTATGGCTCAGTGAGTAGGGCGCCAGCCTCATATACTGAGGATAGTGGGTTCTAACCTGGCCCAAGCCAAACAGCAACAAAAAATAGTCGGGCGCTGTGGCAGGCGCCTGTAGTCCCAGCTACTTGCGAGGCTGAGGCAAGAGAATCGCCTAAGCCCAAGAGCTGGAGGTTACTGTGAGCTATGATGCCATAGCACTCTACCGAGGGTGACAAAGTAAGACTCTCCCTCTAAAATATATACATATATATATGTATATATATTTCATTTATAAAATAAACTTTTTTACCCTCTCCTTTTTTCTGTTTTTGCACCCTAGGGGTTTGAAAGCTATGTATTATTTTTCTCTTCTGGTGGTTACTCTTGAAATTTTCACCATAGATAATTTAACATTTAAAACATCTAAGTTTGGCTGGGCACCGTGGCTCACACCTGTAATCCCAGCACTTTGGGGAGGCCAAGATGTGAGGATCACTTGAAGCCAGGAGTTTGAGACCAGTGTGCAGGACAGAGTAAGACCCTCCATCTAAGAACTAAAGTCTCTGAGTTTGACACCACCTCTGTTTCCCTCCCGCGTGCAAGTGCTCATGCTCTGCTCTGCTTCCCACCATTCCTGTGCTGCTGCCGTCCAGTGTCATTGTTTCTAGATGGAGATGCCGGGAAGTGGAACACAAAGGTCTATTTTATGTCACTTTTAACTCCAAAGATAATGTTGATTTTTCTGGGCACGGAATTCTACCCTGACTGCCGTTTTCTCTCAGTGCATTTCATTCTCTTCTCCGTCTCACTGTTGTTGAGAAGGGTTGTTACTCTCACGGATTATTCTGTCTCTTGTACTCTGCAGTTTTGTTGTTACACACTTAACTGTGAATTTCTTTTTAGTTACCCATTTGGTATAAATTATACTCTGTATCTGTGATTTTAGGGCTTTCACTAGTTTTAGAAAATTCTGAGTCATTATCCCTTTATTATACCCCTCCCCTCATCATCTCTTAAAAACATAACTTTCCTCCCATTCTTTTTAAATTTCCTTCTGAAATTCAGATTGAATATGTTTGACTTTCTCATTGAATCCTCCACCTGCCTTATCTGTTTTCCATTTCTTTGTTTTTCTAGCTGACATTCCGAGTAATTTCTTCTGCTTAGTATTCCCGTTTACTAATTCTCTCTTCATCTGTGTTCAGTGTTCTTTTTATTTCATCCGTTTAGTTTTATAATTTTTCTTCTTTCTTTTGAGATAGGGTCTCATTCTGTCACACAGACTCGGGGGCAGTGGCCTGATTGTAGCTCACTGCAACCTTCTGGGCTCAAGCAGTCCTCCCAGCTCAGCCTCCTGCACAGTGAGGACTACCCACATGCACCACGTGCCCACCTAATTTTTCTCTTTTTTTCAGTGTTGCCTAGACTGGTTCTGAACCTCTGCCTCCCAAGTGCTAGGATTACAGGCACGAGCCACTGCATACAGCTGAGTTTTTTATTTCAACAACTGTCTATTTCATTTTCAGAAGTTCTATCCGGTTCTTTTGAAAATCTACCTAGTCATTTAAGAAAATAATTTCTTGGTCTTTGATTATTTTAATACATCTTTTCTTTTAATATTTTATTCAGTTATATGATAATTCAAATATCTGAAATTGAGGGATGCTTAAATCTAGCTCTGTTGGCTTTGGTCTGCACATCTCCTTGCTTCTACAGACAGTAATTTTTTGCTGTTAATACATACTCGGTTGCGTTTAATCAGTGGGATCCTGAGGGCCTGAATTGAGGATGTTTTTCTCTAGAAATGACTTGTATTTGCCTCTCTTTGGTACCAGACAACATTTCCATCCCAGAGCCAAGTTACTTTTATTACTGATTTTTTAAATAGGATATAGTAGTTCTTTTTAAAAAATACAAAAGGCAGGGGCAGCACCTGTGGCTCAAAGGAGTAGGGCACTAGACTAGTAGGGCATATGCCAGAGGTGGTGGGTTCAAACCCAGCCCCAGCAAAAAAAAAAAAAAAAAATACAAAAGGACTTTAAAAAATATATATCCATGATCCATTATTATTAAATAAAGTTTTTTTTGGGGGGGGGTCCTGAGTAGTTGGAACTATAGACGCCCACCACAATGCCTGGCTAATTTTTCTATTTTTAGTATAGATGGGGTGTTACTCTTGCTCAGGCTGGTCTCCAAGTCCTGGTCAAGCAATCTACCTGCTTCGGCCTCCCAGAGTCCTAAGATTGCAGGTGTGAGCTACCGCACCTGGCCTAATAATAGTTCTGTAATATCTTATATTTTTCTGGATTGCATTCTAGATGATTTCTTCTGCCAATATTCCAGTTACTTAATTCTTTCTTCAGCTGTGTCCATTGTACTGTTTAACCCATTCTTTGAATTCTTCCCCTAATTTCTCTCAAAAATGTCTTTCTGCTCTTTTTTTTTTAATTTTTAACTTTTTTAAATTTTTTTTTTTTTTAAGAGACAGGGTTCTCATTGGCTTACTCAGGCTGGAGTGAAGTGGCTATTCATAGGACACTGCAGGCTCAACTCCCCAGGCTGAAGCTATCCTCCCACAGGCTCCAAGTCGCTGGGACTGGGGGCACATGCCACCACGCCCGGCTTCTTCTAGCTTTTGACTCACTCTAGTCGGCCTGGATGCCCATCACAGGGACTAGTGTAGATTCAAACTCTAGATCCATTTGAGAACAGGCCAGTGGCAGCAGTCCCCCAGGACACTCTTAGCTTTTCAGAGAGCAGGTTCTTTTGAAGATCTGCAGATTTTTCACCCCCTCATGCTTTCTTTGAGGGTCCTTCACACACCTCCACTAACCTGCCTTGTTCTGGGACACACAGTTCACAGTGGGCCTTGAGATTTTCTGTCACTCTCAGTTTGTGTGGACCCAAGACCTACTCTCCATTCTATAAAAATCTGGGGCTTTGGCATTAGCTTTTGTCCTCAAAGCAATACTGACATTTTGTTTGACCTTCTGAGGGGACACAGAAGAGGCCTTGTAGGGCCGGGCCGTGTTTGCACCCGCGGCCAGGCCATTGTGCTGTAGCATCTGCCTGGCCAGCCTGGCCAGCCTGGCCTTTAGGGTTTTTCCATCTGCAGGACTCCGGGTGTTTCATGCCGCTGTGCGTCTTTGCTTCAGAACACAAGCACAACGGGCTGGCTCTGTTCTCTGATGGGAGCATTCTGTCCTCTAAGTTCTTGCTACGTTAGCATTCATGAGCGCTCTATAAATATTTCTTTAATTGTGCTGTTTTTTGGTTTTTTTGAGACAGAGTCTCACTCTATCACCCTGGTTAGAGTGCCTTGGCATCACAGCTCACAGCAACTTCAAACTCTTGGGCTCAAGGGATCCTCCTGCCTCCTCTTCCCAAGTAGCTGGGACTATAAGTGCCCATACAACACCTTATTAGTTTTTCTATTTTTAATAAAGACAGGGTCTCACTCTTGCTCAGGCTGGTGTGGAACTCCTGAGCTCAAGCCATTCACCAGTCTTGGCCTCCCAGAGTTCTAGGATTACAGGCATGAGCCACCACAGCCAGCCATTAAATTGTGCTATTTTAAACTTTTCCTTTGCTTACTTTCTTTGTTTCAGAGAAATGGAAGGTGAACTTGAAGTGGTTTGGGAGTCCACCTCCAAGGAAAACCAAAGGATCCGAGAACTCCTCCGGGCCACACTCACGAGGACAGGCAGGTGGGGCCACACTGGGGCACTGGGGGACCCCTGCCTCCATCTGGAGGACCCCTGCCTTGAGGGACTCTCTCAGGAACACCGGCTGGTTGGCTACAGTGACTGTGACACAAAGCTTTGTCTGCGGGACCCTCTGGAGCGGCCCCATCCCCCTGAGCAGCCCACCTTCCCCAAGCTGGGGAAGGGCAGCCCCCCGCCCCAGGGGAGCCCACAGGAGCCTGAGGAGTGCCTCAGAGCGAGGGGGAAATAAGCTGTCTCTAAGTTTAATCCATTGTTGGCATTTCCTTGCTGAAATACTTCTGAGCCAGTGCGTGTTCTCTGGCTGTGCTGCCCCTGAGGCCCCCCTCGTGACCCCTGAGGAACAGGCTGGGAGAGCAGCAGAGGGGTGGGGTGGGCGGGACGAGCACCGTGCTGTGGTTAGGTGCTGCAGGGCCAGGCGATGGGAGCAGTGGGAGTGACGGCCATGCTCCAGCTCCAGGTGGCATTCTCTTGTTTTGTAAAAACCAAGGTTCTGGCACTCATGCCCCAGTGAGTTATACAAAACCTGTTCTCTCTCTATCTTCCTTCCCTCACCTCTTGGGAAGGTAATTTATTCTAGGGCCACATATCTCCCCCCCTCTGTGACAAGAGCTCTGGCTTTGAGCCCCGAGGTGGGGTCCCTGCCTTATTGCCACCACCAGGAGAGATACGAGGGGCCGTGGTTTGGGTTCCTCTGTGCCATCTCCTCAGGTTCACGATCCCAGCCCCTCGGACCATTCACTAGGACTTCCCGGCCTGAGTGCCACTTATCTACAGCCCCTTGTCCTGAGTGTGCTGCGGGAACTCAGGGACATCCACCTACAGAGGACCCTGACTGGGGGAGAGCTGGGGTCCTGGGCCACATCCAGTTGCAGGGCCCCTCACTCTGAGCCCCTCCCCGTCTCGGGTGTGACGTTGGGCACCACTGGTCCTCATCCTGTGTGGAGCTTACAGAGCTCTGCCTGCGAGGCGGGAAGCTGGGATCACAACTCCTAGTTCTTTTACATTTTTCTCTTTGTCACCTTAAAGGCTTTGAGTTTTTTTATATTTTATTAAACTTGTTCAACATTTAATTTCTAATTTAATTTTATTCTATAAGAGGTAGAAAAACAACAGGAATGAAAACTGTCATCTCACTGGGAAGTAACTCCCATGTCATCTCCAGGGAACTTACAAGCTCTGAGAACCTGCAGTGCCCAGCGAGTCTCAGGCGCAGGGGGTGGGTGCTGGTCACTGGGAACGCTGCTGTGGTCATTACTACCTGGACAACCCCTGTTGACATCCCCGTCTTGCCTGCCTCTTACGCACGTTCTATTCCCTTGAGAAGTGAACCTCCTCGTACTGCTGCTGTACGTTTATCAGCGGTACAGATGCACTTTGCAAGTTGGGTGACCCTGGACAGAACGCTGGCCAGGGCTGGGCAGGGGGTCCTGCAGCTCTTGGTCTCTGCCCAGCCCCCTGCTCGGGCTTCAGGGATGGGGCAGATGAGCTGAGAGTCCAGGACACAGAGGAGGGTGAGGCAGGGGAGACGAGGCGGCTGAGGGCACAGAGAGCTCTGCGAGGTTCCAAGAAAGAACGAGAGGCCGTTAGGGTCCTTCCATGGGGGTGGGGTGCCCTGGCCTTGAGAGAGGACAGGGGTCAGCTGGAGAGGGGTTGGGAGGGCTCTGAGAGCAGAGGGAAGACTCAGGAGCAGGTTTGTCAGCAGAGGGCGGATGGGAAGTCCCAGTGAATGGTCCCGAGAAGCTGGACCCAGCAGAGCCTGGGCTGCGGGCGAGACTCCTGGCCCTTCCCCCTGCAGGTTTTCTGTCTGAGCAGGGAACTGCTTTGCTCTTTCTTGGTCCCAGTGAGGTTGTACATGACATTGGAAAGTTCCTGATCAAGTTGCAAGTCACACAGCTGCGACTGGGGAAGCCCTGTGAGCCCTGCAGGCTTTGGTGTTACTGATATAATAAAAGCAGCCCTGGGGATGGAGACCGTGAGCTGGCTGGGGCCAGGCACGTGGGTGTGTCTGCCAGGGGAGCCGCCGTTACTGCCCTCGGTGGCGCTGAGCTGTGCGCCTGCACACGACTAACGTGGGTAAGAGAATTTTCCAGACTTCCTAAGGGTTTATACCATTTTACGTTCCCACCAGCAAGAGTGAGCCTTCTGGTGGCTCCACGTTCTCAGTGTTGTCAGTAAAGTGTTTCGAGGGGAAAGAAGCAAGTTTGGCTTCTTGTGCTGAGCTGGTCTTGGGTCTAGCCCCCCACCCTCCCACACCATCTGCAGGAGTGGAAGGCACAGTCACCAGTGTGGGTGGCTCAGCAAAGCCCTCCCTGGGCCTGCAGTGGTGGGTGACCCTTACAGTGGGGAGGGCCCGAGCCCAACGCTGATCACTCCAGAACACTGAGCTCTGGGGCGGAGCTGAGCTGAGTTCCTCGGGTCCCCACAGGATGGGGAAGCGTCGTGCACCCCCAGCACAGCAACGGCACCTCCCACCTCCCCACTTTGTCCCAGCTGGGCTGGTGTCAGCAGCTCAAGGGGCAGTGCTAGTCAGGAGGACAGGGGGACTGTCATGGCTGCTCTGGCCTCTCCATGTCCCCTGGACTCATTTTTGACAGTGGGGCAGGGTGTGTGGGAAGGACGGGGGGGGGGAGACAGCTTGTAGGTGGCTGCTGGTCTGCCCTTGCAGACACAGTGTCTCCACACAGCGGCACGAAGGTGGTTGGTAAGGACCCAGGCTGGCTGGCCAGTGGGCCTTCAAGGCAAGGGGTCTGTGAGGCAGCTTCCAGGAACTGGCCAGGACCTGGTAGTGGCAGCCAGGGCTGGCTCCCACCTCGGCACTGGGTGCCCTGTCTCCTGTCCCTTGTTTTACAATGCACAGAACAGGAAAGGAGGGAGAGGTTAGAGATCTGGGAGCACAGGTGGCCACCTCGTGGTCATCAGGACCATCTGTGCTGCGCCTATTTGGGGGTTCCTGAGTATTTTATTGAAGAATAAGTCTTTTTTTTTTTTTTTTGAGTTTTTGGCTGGGGCTGAGTTTGAACCTGCCACCTCTGGCATATGGGGCCAGTGCCCTACTCTTTTGAGCCACAGGCCCCATCCCAGAAGAATAAGTCTTTTGAGGCCAGGTGTGGTGGCTCACAGCTGTAATGCTAGCACTCTGGGAGGTTGAGGCAAGAGAATCGCTTAAGCCCAAGAGTTTGAGGTTGCTGTGAGCTGTGATGCTACAGCACTCTACCCAGAGTGACAGTGAGACTCTGTCTCTCACAAATAAAAGAGAAAGTCTTTGAAAATGCAGGTGTGGTATATGGAACACAGTAGGATAGCAAGCTACAGAAAATACGCAGCCCAGGATTAAGGGAAAGAAGGAAACGTTTTGGAAATGTATGCTGGGTAGCTCCCACCGTGTTTATTTTATTTTTTTAGAGCTGGAATCTTGCTAGTATTGCCCAGGCTGGACTTGAACTCTTGGGCTCAAGTGATCTTTCTGCCCCCTGAGTAGCTTACCTACCGTGTTTCGTGTTTCACAAAGGACGGAAACCAGAATATCCCTGAAGGAGTCTTGGTAATTGGACAATGTCAACCTTCCCTGCTGTGAAATCCTGGGAAAGCACAGCCTCTCACCAAGCTGGAGTCCTGAGCCCTCCCCCAGGGCTGGAGAAGGAGAGCGCTTTAAGTCTGAGTGCTGGGCAGATAGAGACAAGGTTACCCAAAATTATAACTCTTCATCAACGACAGGTAGCTATGCAGAACCCTCTTAGTCCAACCTCACCAACTCAAACAACTTCTCATCCTGTGTGACCACCGTGGTTGAGACGGGGTGACAGTAATGAACAGTGATGAGTTTAGGGTGTGGGTTTAGGAAGCAGGATGGATGGTGATGACACTCTGAAACAGCACTGGTGTCCCCAAGCAGGTTACCTGTGAAAAACAGTATTACTTTGAACACATAAAAGGATAGACAAAGTTCAGAGGCTGAATCATACGATTCCGGTAATTCTTGGATATATATAGATACAGATTGTTCTGAGATAAGAGTTTTGAAATTCTGCTTTCCTTGCTAATTGTTTTATGGTTCAGCTTTAAGTCCCTGACGTTGACAGCTCTTGCACATTCTGCTGACTCTCCCAAGTTACGATGGGAATTCAGGTAGGTACGTGAGCAGCTCACATCTGGGTTGTACCAGTTACACCTGTTCAGCCTTCTGGGTCCCCCTAGACCCCACACCCCTGTTACAGCACTGGAAAGAAAGGACTCCGCAGTTGAGTGAGCTTAATGCTCCAAGGCAGGCCCGGGATGAGCCGTGAGTGGTAAAGGAAGATCCAACTTTTGCCTGAATGTTTCCCAAAGACCCTGCCTTCATCCCCTGAGGATTCCCAGACGGCAGCCCGGAGGTGGTGGAGAAACCCTCACAGGAGAAGGGCATGTTGGGGCCTAAGACACACCACCCCAAAATATGGCTGTGCCACCCCAGATTGCACTTTGGCATATTTTGAGCTGCTTATGCTGAGAAACTAGACAGAATAGCTGTGAAAAGCGCCCTTCTGCACCAGAAATGTATGTGCGTGGAGAAAACCTTCGTGAGTGAAGCAGGAGGAGTGCTGTTCACAGCAAACTTTATTACCTGAGAGACTTTTTTTTTTTCTTTTTTGAGACAGAGCCTCAAGCTGTCCCCCTGGGTAGAGTGCCGTGGCTTCACAGCTCACAGCAACCTCCAACTCCTGGGCTCAAGAGAGTCTCCTGCCTCCGCCTCCCAAGTAGCTGGGACCACAGGTGCCCGCCACAACACCCGGCTATTTTTTGGTTGCAGCCATCGTTGTTGTTTGGCGGGCCCAGGCTGGATTCGAACCTGCCAGCTCAGGTGTATGTGGCTGGTGCCTTAGCCACTTGAGCCACAGGCGCCCAGCCTGAGAGACTTTTTATAACGAGACAACCTTTATTCCTCGACGTTTCCTCCCCTCATCCTCCTGTGTCTTGTCTCCACCACCCCCAGCAGCCCCAGGCCCCTTTCCTTTCTCTGCTTCAGTCATCTGGGCCTTCATGTTTTATGGGACTCCCATGCTTGTGCCCGTAATTCAAATGGTTTTTCTCCTAATTGACATCTGTCTTGTGTCAATTTAATTGTTAGCCCAAGCAATGAACCTACAAGGGTGGAAGGGTCCAGGCAGCACGGTTTACACCTGTAATCCCAGCACTCCGGGGGCGGAGGTGGGTGGATCTCCTGAGCTCAGGAGTTTGAGACCAGCCTGAGCAAGAGTGAGACCCTATCTCTGCCAAAAATAGGAAAACCAGCCTGGTGTCGTGACAGGATTTATGGGGGGGGGGGAGCCCTTTTTCCCTCCCCAAGAGGAACCATGTACCAAATATAAGACAAAACACAGGTGGTGTTAATCTCTCCAAACTGCAAGTACCTTTGCCCTGGAAGGAAAAAGAGTTTGGAAGTGAAAGTCAAGAGCCATGGCAGAAACTGAAGAAATAATGGAGCCGTTTGAAGGTTCCTAGGAAAGTAACTGTAGGCGGGATTTGGCTGCAGGAAGGTTAACTTCAGCCACGCGGGGGAAGAGCTGGAAGGTTTTGTAACCGGGACAGCCTCCTCGCCTGATGCACAAGGTTGGTCAGCACAGGGAGATGCCAGGAGGAAACCTCAAAGCCAACTCCCCAAGGAGTTTGGGGTTACAGACTTTAAGGGATTTGGAGAGCAGTGGGCCTAGGTGTGTGGGGGGCCAATCATTACTCCGGGGGATCATTCACTGATTAGTTGGAGAGTGTGGGGCTAAATCGTGGGACCGGGAGAAGCAGAAACCGCTTTGTCCTTCTGAGCTGGGTGCTCCGTGGGGGCCCTGGAAGTGCCTGGCTGAGCCTTCCCACTGGAATTCAGGATCTGAGGAACACTTTGAGCAATTCTTAAGCAAAAGCCTATGAGTCCAGCATCAGAGATTCCATCTCCAAGACAACGGATGCAGAGGGTCACCGTCTTGAGCCCGTGACCTTCAATTACAGGGAAGTGGGGCAGAGTTCACTAATTAATGCTTAATTCCAATTCTATTTTTGTCCAGAACCCAGCAGGTTATTCTTATTAACCCCTGCGAGGGAGGTTTTGGTCTTGAAGAAGAACTGGGGAAACTTTTTATGTTTAAATCAAATTCATATTATTTTATTTAGGGGAGAAAAAAATCAATTTCTGATAATTGGATGGAGGGGCGAGGGGGTGGAATGAGAATCACCGTTCTCAGAAACACTCGCCATGAACCAACAATGAACTGAAGTAGAGATTCTGACTCGACAAAGGATCCTCACGCCCAGATGTCCCACATTCAAGACGCATCGTTCAGAGAATGCTCAAGCTCAATGTGTAACCTTCCACGGTCTCATGGTTCCATGAGGGGTACTTCATAGTACCGAGAGAACCCGTAGGAGTGACCCTAACAGGCCCGTGGGCAGGTTCTGCCTCCGGCTTCCCCCTCCAGGCAGGGGAGGACTGAGGCACCTGCTCAGAGCCCTGGGCATGGCAGGCAGGCCAGCAAACAGACTTGGCCTTCCTAAGAGGGAGACGACAAACTTCTAAATCAGGACTGTGGGCTGGGCACCTGTAGTTCAGTGGTTAGGGCGCTGGCCACATGCTCTAGGGCTGGTGGGTTCAAACCCGGCCCAGGCCTGCTAAACAAAAAATAGCTGGTGTTGTGGGGGGCCCCTGTCATCCCAGCCTCTAGGGAGGCTGAGGCAAGAGAATCACTTGAGCCCAAGAGTTGAAGGTTGCTATGAGCTGTGACACCACAGCACTCTACTGAGGGCAACATAGTAAGATTCTGTCTCAATAAAATAAATAAAAATAAATAAATCAGGACTCTGGCTCTGGAATAGCAAGGGTCCTCATGTTCTCCTGATGGCTTTTTTTTTTTTTTTAAGACAGAGTCTTACTCTGTCACCCTGGGTAGAGTGCTTTGGTGCCAGCATAGCTCACAGCAACCTCAAACTTCTGGGTTCAAGCCATCCTCCTGCCTCAGCCTTCCAAGTAGCTGGGACCACAGGCACCCACCACAGTGCCTGGCTCTTTTTTGGTTGTAGTTGTCGTTGTTGTTTAGCAGGCCCGGGCTAGATTCAAACCCACCTGCCCCAGTGTATGTGGCCAGTGGCCCAACCACTGAGCTACAGGTGCCTAGCCAAGTTTTTCTATTTTTAGTAGAGATAGCATCTCACTCTTGCTCAGGCTAGTCTATAATTCCTGGTCTCAAATGACTCACCTGCCTCAACCTCCTAGAGTGTTAGGATTCCGGTGTGAGCCATCATGCCTGGCTCTCCTGATGGCTTTAAGAAGAGACTCTGAGGAATCTGACCCCCTGCCAGTCCCAAAGTGCTCCTACTGTGACCCCCAGAGCACTGACCTCTGGCCCCATCCTGGTATCTGGGATGCCGTTAAGTTTACCCTAAACCAGTGGTTCTCAACCTGCTGGTCACCCACAGGAACTGTATTAAAGGGTTGCTGTATTAGGAAGGTTGAGAACCACCCCCTAAAGCAAAACAGGCAGAGTTTTGGCTGGAGATAACAACAGCAAAGCTGCAGCTTTAATGCTTCAGGCCGTGCGCTCCCCCCCAGCCCACGTGGGCCACCCCCCACATCTGCCTCTGATAAGGAGCTTCCTCCCCCCAGGAAGGCCTTATCTGAGACTATGGTTTAGAGGTGCTGCCACCTAAGACCAGGTCTGCTGTCCTGGGGAGGGGCAGCTCTGCCCTCTCCTGAGAAAGAGAAGAGTGCTCCAAGCCCTGCCTGGTGGGAAGCCAGAGCTCTGTTGGCCCTTGTGGGCCTCGGTTTCCCCATCAGGCAAGTGAGAAGGTGGCACTGATGATGCTGTGTGGCCCTCCTTCGAGCTTCTGTCTGGTGGGTACCTGCAGCTGCAGCCGTGGTGAGGACAGAGCGGGCTGCCCAGAGCCTGACTGCGGGGGCGGCGGCAGGTCCCAGGTGGTGCCGGAACCGGCCACCAGCAAAGATGACAGGGCAGGGCTCACCCATTCTCCACCTGCCCAATGACAAGGCAGGCTGGGGACATACCTGCTCCCTGGAGGGGAAGAAATCATCTGAGCAGCTGCTGAATTATGTAGGAAACAATTACTGTTTGTACTACCTGGCTCCACTTGCAAATATGCAGCCTATTAAAGTAATAAAAGAGTTGACTCCTAAGTTTATCTCCTCTGATTCCTAAAGATTTTTATCTTTCAAAAGCACAACTTCTATTCTTTGGCAAGATTTCTCCTTACAGGATGTAGCTGATTGGGGCCAATCTGTTTGTTTTTGTTTTTAAACATTAACCTAGACATAAATGAACAAAACAAAAATATTTTTGGAGAGAAAGTGGCTTTGCCTGACCCTCCTCTTTTTGTGTAGTATATCTAAGCTTCATTGCTTTAAAAAAATGGTGATTAATAATTACCTTCATTGACCTCTGTACCTTCTGGCTTCCTCCATTCCTGGGCACAAGACATGGCCATTCCCAGGGATCAACTATCCAGGTGCAGGCGGTCAGCTGAGCAGGCGGCTCCTCAGGCTCGCCAAGGTCAAGGAGGGAGGTAAGGCCGGCAGGGTGATGGGAAGGCTGTGTCCTCTCCAGGCCGAGGCCTGGGCAGAGGATTTATTTAGAGAGAACGGCGGAACATGGCCATCTCCTAGTGCACTCTTGAGTTGGTTTTCCTTAGCAAGTTTTGTTGTGGTGGTAGTTGTCATTGTTGTTTGGCAGGCTAGGGCTAGGTTCAAACCCGCCACCACCGATGCATGTGGCTGGCGCCCTAGCCACTGAGCTACAGGAGCCATCTTCCTTAGCAATTTTTAAATTCATCCTTCAATGAAGAGAGTCCCCGTGCTATGGATCTGTCACATGTGAGGGGCTTCAATCTTGGGAAAGAATCCTGAGAGAAACCATCCTTCCTCTGGGTCGATTCCCATAAGCATATTTCAGTATTTTAAAGAAGATTTCCTTGTTAGCTGGGCTCTAGTTACTGTTAGTGACTCACACCTGTAATCCCAGCACACTGGGAGGCTGAGGCAGGTGGATCGCTTGAGCTCAGGAGTTTGAAACCAGCTTGAGCAAGAGTGAGACTTCATCTCTACTAAAAATAGAAAAACTAGCCAGGTGTTGTGGTGAGTACCTGAGGTCCCAGCCACTTGGGAGGCTGAGGCAGGAGCCCAGGAGTTTGACGTTGCTGTGAGCTCTGACTCCACGGCACTCTACCCAGGGTGACAGAGTGAGAGTCTCAAAACAAAACAAAACTTATTTTATGCTTTGAAAGAAATGAACTTGGGCCATGTAGATAGAATGACGCAGTCACTGCCAAATGGGAGGAGATGGCAGCCCAGGGGCAGAAGCCAGAAGCAGTCAGGACTGTCTGGGAAGGAACTGAGACGAGACCAAAGCGCCTGAGCTTTGGAAGGGAAGCTGTGTTCCCTAGGGGGCCTGAACACTATGAATGACTTTTTACTTGGGGGGCGGGGGAGGCTGGGCGAATTTTCCTCAAGCGACTGACACCTGCATTGTCCTTAAAGCCGTGGGCTAATGATTTGCTTCTGGAGCGGCTCCCACAATCCCTTAGCTGAGCGCTGAGCTGAGAGCCCCTGGCTGAGCCAAGCCCCTGGCTGAGCCAAGCCCCTTGCTGAGCAGAGCCCCTTGTGAGCTGAGCCCCTTGTGAGCTGAGCCCCTGGTTGAGCTGAGAGCCCCTTGTAAGCCAAGCCCCTGGCTGAGCAGAGCCCCTTGTGAGCCAAGCCCCTGGTTGAGCCGAGAGCCCCTTGTGAGCCGAACCCCTTGTGAGCTGAGTCCCTTGTGAGCCAAGCCCCTGGCTGAGCAGAGCCCCTTGTGAGCTGAACCCCTTGTGAGCTGAGCCCCTTGTGAGCCGAGCCCCTGGTTGAGCTGAGAGCCCCCTGTGAGCCGAGCCCCTGG